CCCACCCCCCCCACACACATACATCCCCTTTGTCTTTCCTTTCTGAAATTGCTGCCAGCCACCAGGACGCCTTTGGAAAACTGCCCTGGCTGCTCAAATTCAGGGCTTCACAACAAGCTTCTGGCAGAGGCAGCTGCCAGCAGCAACCATCCTAGAGTCTGTGGGCGCCAACCCAGCAGGCTCCCGGGACCACTGCTGCCAGCAGCCGCAGGACTCTGCCTTGCTGGCCTTTCCTTCCCTCAGCTGCACTGGGGACTTGAGGCTGTTGTTTCCTGGAGACCTACTGGCCAGATGTGCACACGGCTCTTCATTTTCTCTTTGGCTAGTCTCTGCCTTAACGCTGCTGTAACTTACATAAGCCTGATTTAAATCCTACAGGACCTCTCTTGGCAATGCCCATCTTTAAATAGCTCTAATAACAGTGGCCTAGCAATGCTTTTTTTAAAAAAAGAATCACTTTTTTCCTACTGTAGTTTAACATTCCTCATCCTCTTTTCTCCCTTTCCTTTGGTTGAGTGATGCCTTAGACAGATTTCTCTACTTTGCTTTTTACTTTGTTCCAGTTTCTCTTGAGGGTCCAGTTTGAACAGGGCCACTGTGTGTGGGACAAGCCTGTGTGGGGCTTGTACTGCTGTGCACATTCATGTTCTGTGGGGTACAGTTGCATGGCTGTATGTGGAGGCCTGCATCTGCAGGCAAGGGGGAGGAGGAGAAAGGAGGGATAACTGCCTTCTTACCATTTCCTTCTCGTTCCCATGAGAGGAGGGACCGTGTCTGTGTGTTTATTACTGGAGCTTCAGCACCCAGAACAGTGTCTAGCCCAGAGCAGGCCCTCAGGCACTATTTGCTGAATGAATGATTTAATACTGAACACTGGGCACAGTGCTGGGGAAACAGTGAGGAAGAAGATAGTCTAGACCCCTGCCCTCATGGAATATTCTAGTGGAGAGATAGACAGTAATCATGTAAACCACAAATAAATAAGATAATTTCAGATAGTGACAAGTGAAGGAAAAGGACGGGACGCTGTGAGAGACTGGAAGGTCCTCCTTTGGCTAGGATGCCCAGAGAAGGCCCCTTTGAGGAAGTGACATTTGCACTGAGTCCTGAATGATGAGAAGGGTACTGTACGTGAAAAGGCTCAGAGTTCCAGAAAGGAAAGAAGTCTGATGTGTGGCTCGGGCATATTTGAGCGAGAAGGGGCAGGTAGGAGATGAGGTTGAAGCAATAGATGGGCTAGATGATGCAGAGCTTTGAGCTGTGGTAAGGTAAGAGTCTGGGTTTATTCTCCATGCAGTTAGTGTTTTAAATGCCTGTGGTTACTTCAGTCCATTTATCCTCTGAAATGTAGAGTTGTCTACCAAGATTCACAGATTGTATGACCTTCTATCTGGTCCAGGTGAAATAATGAAGTGGGACATTTTAATCCCAGTTTTTTTTCTTTCTTTCTTTTTTTTTTTTTTTGTGAGGAAGACCAGCTCTGAGCTAACATCTATTGCCAATCCTCCTCCTTTTTTTCCCCAAAGCCCCAGTAGATAGTTGTATGTCATAGTTGCACATGCTTCTAGTTGCTGTATGTGGGACGCGGCCTCAGCATGGCCGGAGAAGCGGTGCGTCGGTGTGCGCCCGGGATCCGAACCCGGGCCGCCAGCAGCGGAGCGTGCGCACTTAACCGCTAAGCCACGGGGCTGGCCCTTTTTCTTTCTTTTTATTGCTGCTAGGAAGTGAGGAAACTGAAGGGGAGGGAGGATACGTACTCTCAATAGGAAGTCAGACAGTGAGGAACAGGGAACAGCAGTGGAATAGGGACAGAGAGAAAGGAAACTGACATTACTGAATGTGTTGAACTCTGTACTCAATGCCTTACTTGTGTTATTTCATTTAATCCTCACAACAGCCTATAGCAGACAGAATGATGCACTGCTCCCCCGCCCTGCCCCGCAGCCCTCCAAGATATCTACAAGTTAATCCTTGGAACATGTGAATATGTTACATTGCATGCCAAAAAGGACTTAGATGTGATAAAGGATCTTGTGAAGGGGTGATCAGCCTGGCTTATCCAGGTGGGCCCTGGTTAATCACAGGATCCTTGTAAGAGGGAGGTGATAGAGTCACAGTGAAAAAAGAGAATGCCGTGTGATGATGGAGGCTGAGGGAGGAGAGGCATTGTGATGGGGGGCTGTGAGGCCAGGAATGAGGACAGCTGGCCTCTAAGATGGAAAAGGCAAAGAAACAGATTCTCCCGAGAACCTCCGGAAGGGAACCAGCTCTGCCTTCACCTTCATTTTAGCCCAGTGAGTGACTGTGGACTTTTGACCTCCAGAACTGTAAGAGAATAAATTTGTGTTGTGTTAAGCCACTAAGTTAGTTGTAATTTGTTATAGCAGCAGGAGAGCTAATACCCAGCCCTACGATGGTGTTGTCCCTACGCTCGTTTTATACTGAGGAAGCTGAGGGTCAGAGAGGTTGCAGTTAGACTGGAGCTGGGTTTTAAGTTCAGGTTTGTCTAACTCCAGAGTCACGCTTTTGTACTTCATCAGGCTGCTTTCAGAAGTGTGTGTGTGTGTCTTTGTGTGACGGGGCAGGGAAATTCTTGGGGCTAGAAGGAGGAAAGAGGGTGAGTGACACAAGGGTGCTGGAGAGAGAGACCTGCGGTCCACGTGCAGGAAACGGCTCTCCAAGTATTCATCCAGCTGAGGCAAGTCCTGTGGGTCCGGTACAGCTCCTCTCCCCCAAGGCCTGCATCAGTGACCTTTCCCAGCTCTGTGGCTGGAGTGGCTAATTTGAGGCAGGTGTGGAAGTGGGGGAAGCGAAGAAGAGTCCAGGTTGAGCTGCTGGGGGAGAGATGCTTCTGGTGGATTAAACTGCAGGTCTGAAAGTATTTTCCCATGGAAACACTGCTGAGCGCTTGTTAAACTCTTGGTATAGTGAGTGTTCTATTTCAAGTTTATTATGAATTGAGTAAACTTCTGGGTTTCCCTGAGAATCTAACTACTATTTATAATAGTATTTCTATAGGAAAGTACAGCTAAGTCTCTCAGAAGTAAATTGTAAAAATTTTGGAATGCAAATTTTTATAAGTTTGGGGACAGCCAGTAATCTGATTTTTGCCCAGAATGTTTGTACTTAGAAGATTAAGATGTTCTGGATGTGACTTCCAAAAAGTTCTCTGGGCCCTTTCATTTTATTAGAATGTGCTTAGATTAAATGTTGTTGATATTATTTGAGCTAAATGGATTGTGGTAGGCATGAAAGAATTTTTTTTTTTTTTGTGAGGAAGACCAGCCCTGAGCTAACATCCAATGCCAATCCTCCTCTTTTTGCTGAGGAAGACTGGCCCTGGGTTAACATCCGTGCCCATCTTCCTCTACTTTATATGGGACGCTGCCATAGCTTGGCTTGACAGGCGGTGTGTTGGTGCGCGCCTGGGATCTGAACCTGCAAACCCCGGGCCGCCGCAGCGGAGCACGCACTCTTAACCGTTGCACCACCAGGCCGGCCCCCAATTTTTACTTTTTTTTTTATGCAGCGATTTTGATTGTGTGGGGAGTCTGTATACTAGTCTCTCCCTGGCTAATTCAGCGTAGCTCATTTCCTTATAGTGATTCTGCATTACAGCTGTCGACTTTAAGCCTGATTATTAGGCACTAACCTGTCATTCCATTTACAAATCGCTTCTAACAGTTTGTCTCCACAACTCTCTACCAAGTTATGTCCCTTGATTTCTTTTCAGCTAAGCTTTAATTCTTTAAGCTTTTTCCAGTTTCCATACTTCTCGCTTGGGGTTGGTAGTAGCAATGGGGAGGTTGAAGAAAGAAAAAAAGGTATAGTTTTAGGAATATTTTGGACTGTAAAAGGTATCTTTGCTTCATAATTCCAATCAAAAGAAAAAAGACCATATAGTATCCTAGGCAGTTTTCCTAATATACCTGTTTTTTGTAGGATTTGTCTTAGGAACCATGCTACATATCAGTATATATATTTCTAGGTGAAGATAATTACAGTGAAGTTGAATATTAATTAGGATTAGATTTTAAAATTTTCCAATGGGAAGGCATATACATCACCGTTGCCCTTAAAAATTCTTAGATCTGCTCATAAAGTAGAATGGACACAGTTTTGTGTGTAAGTTTTATATGGTAATCCTTATTTGAGGCCAGCTGTGCTAGACCATAGGAAGAAACAGAAGGAAAGTCTGTGTGGATATTTGGTAGTCAAACCATTCACCTGTTAAAAAATGATTAATCAAGATGATTTAGGTGATACAAACAAACTTGATTTAACACTTCATGAAGTGAGTGGTTGCCATTCAGAAAGCTGCAAAACGGGGTGGAAGGCAGGAATTTTTTATAGGATAAAGAATAAAGAAAAAGGAAGAGAAAAGTAGAAAAGATCTGGCTGGGGCCACAGAGGCAACCTTGTTTGGGGTGAGAAGGAACAAGGAAGTAAGTATGGAGCCCAGCGTTGGCATTTGGAGAGTGGGGGTTGGCGGACTGGATGTCCTGCCTTTCTGGTCAAGCAGAGCATTTGCAGGGACAGAAAAGTGATCTAAGTTTTGCTTGCTGATGTGGCACCCCAGAGAGGACCAGCTCCATCTTGGGTCTAGAAGTTTATTTCAGCATGCCTTTAATAACTTTCAAATCTCTAGCAGTAAATAGGGAATGAATGCAGAATTCAATGTTCCTGTTTGCTTAGAGGGGTTTATTCTATTCTGTTTTTTGTGTTAAACTTTTATAGCCTTAATATGTGTTAATCAGTTTGTTGTAAGGATTAAATGAGATAATTTAGGTGAAAGCTTCCAACAGGGCCTGGCAAGTAGTAGTTGTTTAACAAACATTCACTGGCTTCGACTCTAAATGTCACAGGTAGTACCTGTGGCTTACTGATCAATTAGATTCTTCTTGTGCTTCTGCGTTTTGTGCAAAATTAGGTTTTTCAGGGCTAAAACAGGAGATAGCAATTATTCTTTCTTTTCTGGGTGTTCTTAGGATGAATTGAGTGAAGTTATCGATATTAAGGATCCAGATTTCACTCCTGCAGCTGAACGAAGGCAGAAACGCTTGGCTGCTGAGCTGGCCAAATTTGATCCTGACCATTATCTGTGAGTACTGAGTTTTTTGAGGACTAAGTAATTTACTTGACGTTTATTTAAAATATTTTGAGTGTCTTTTTAACTATGCTAGGCGTGTGCTTTTTTTATTCCAGAAATTAGTGATGGCTCAAAACCTTAATTAACATTTGAATGAGTCTACAACTGTTATAACTCTGTGATCTTTGTCAGATGTTGCTTCTTAGCAGTTCACTACAGCAACAGAGAACTCTTCTAATATACTTCTTTGAGTTTTTTCTCTCCAGGCTTAAAAGTAGAACGCTGAGTGCATGAGAATATTTACACTTGTTTTAAGCAGACTTTTTGTTGTGATTAACGTTTCTTAAAGAATTTGAATTTACATGTAACTGCATTTCTTGGCTGATCCAGGGTTTTCCTAACACTTCATCCACTAGCACCTGTAATCAAGGATCTGTTTCAAATTAACAGTTATTCTCTGTGGTAGGGTATAAATAAAATCTAATTTTAAGTTTTGCTGTATTTCTCACCTGCATTAATGTGTCTTTAGCCATAATACGTCTCTATTAGGCTTATATTTGCCTAAGGAACTTATGTAATTAAGGGATAGGTAAATAATCACTTGAGGCGAGACTGTGATGTGTCTCATTGGCCAGGATGGTGGTACTTATTCCAAGGAAGTGATTGTCACCTGGCCTCTGTGGATACAGTGCTCTGTTAGGATGTGTGTCGACGTTGATGTAGACCTCAATGATCATTCTTCCCAAGCTCTGGGCCGACAATTTCTACACTGTTAGATATGCAGCTGTAATCATCATATTCCTTATATTTGCATAGTGCTTTCAGCTTATCAGGTGCTCTCATGTGATTATTTAATTCACTTTTCACAGCAGCTGAGGAAAGGAGGTTAAGGGACTTGCCCAAGGTCACACCACTACTAAGTGGCTTGGCCAGGGCTTGAAAAGAGTCTTTCCATTTGTCATTTTCTATTTCCTTTTCGTGTACACTATTTCAGTTGAACTGCTGTTGCTCTTGTGATTAACGTTCTATCTCCTGTGACACAGTGGGAGACTAATTGGAATGGCAGAAATATATCTTGTGATGTGCAAATGCATTGAGTGATGTGTAGTGATAAATGGACTATTCAGCCTCCTAAGGGAAACTGGGTAGGAGCAGGGTATGGTATATTTTGGAGGACATCTGAGAGATTCAACTCCATTGACATTGCCCTTTCTAATTACCTTTATCTCTCCAGTTGTGGTTTTAAAGATCCACTGAAGAGTAATTTGAAGAAACCTATTTAAAATCATGCTGAATATTTAAAGTGGAAATTTCATTGTCAGCAAATTTCTTGGGCAGGCATGAACACAGAATGAGCTTTACAAGACTAATTTCAAGTGGGAGGGAGCTTAATTAGAAGAACTGCCTATCTCTTCTCTTCTAAAACTAGAAGAATATCCCTGGCTTGAGAGAATTAGGAAATTCGAATTTATAGTTAGCAGTTTGATATTATAAGCAGCCCTTATTTTTCTCTGTCTTCTGTGTTTCTTATCCAGAAGCTCATTTTCTTTAATAGTATGCATGAAATGTTCTTTCCATTTCTCAAGGAAAAGTTCTTCCACGAGTGGTTTAAATTTAGTCATGGGCAAGTCGGAGAGTGGGAGTCATGAGGTGCAGGTTCTTTGTGACTTTTCTGGTAGCAGTAAGACTCTGGCTAATTGCAATTTTGTGTTATTCATTACTCATTATTTATATTAGCTGACTGACTCCTCCAAATGTGTTAATATTAAATGAAGTGCAAGTAAAATTCTTTTAAATTTTCAATTAAAATTTTTTTAGCTCAGTGCTTTTTTCGTTGTTCTTAATGGTTAATGCAGTGGAAGAAAAGATTTACTTTAAATTCTTATCTACCATGCAGACAATACATTGCATGTATTATGTTACACATTTCTATATGTAAATGTGATATACATGTGTCATACGTAATATATATTACATTAGTGTAATATATGACATTTTCAAGTTGTTAGACTTGTCCTTACAAGTCATGATGTCTCATTGTGTCAGATTTTTTTGGAGCTTAAGGAAAACTAATTTTAATTTCATCTAAAACAGAACACAGTGAGGTAAATTGGTTATATAGAAAAATTTATACCTCTCAAAGGCACACAGAAATGACTTTGGGTTATTGTTGTTTTTAAAATCCTTTGTTGTAAAGTCTGGATGTCAGTGTGTGATCTCTGCTCCCCCCCTGCCCCCCCCAATTTTGTAGCTCATCAGAATGCTGGGCGTATAGATGATCCATAAACGTTTATTTTTTTTGATTATCCATTCCTTGCCATTTATAATTCTTTTTGGGTATTATTTTTACACTAAAGTATGTTGAAGGCATGTTGAAACATTCCTTAATAGTCCTTCCTCTTTTTGTTTATTATAGCCAAGTTTTCGTATTTCTCTTGCTGAGAGTGTTTTTTCATTCCCAGGCAAATTGTTTTTTAATTGTTGGCATATTTTTTACTTCAACCAATTCATAAAATCTCACCTATTTCCTTCTTTGGAAAATAAAAGAATTCAGTCGATATTCAAAATATCTGTGCGATAAGAAAAGAGACTAAAAGGATCATATAGCATTTGGGTGCCATTTTCAATTGAATTTACAGTGCTATAAATTTGTTAAAGAAGATGGTATAATGATCAGGCTTTTGGATTTATTGAGATCTCAAAACAAGTAGTAATTATGAGGCTGGATCACCTTCTTCCGAGGTGGCTCCCTATTCACAGTAGCAAGCTTGGGACAGAGCAATTAGAATAAAATTTCATTTATTCCTTCTTTCATGTATGCACTTATTTGTTCAACAGATATTTGTTTGAATGACCTTCGTGCCAGGCAGTGTTGTAGACAGCAAGGAGAGTGCGGTCAATACAACAAGGTAGCTGCCCTCATGGGGCATAGGTTCTAGTGGGGAAGTAGATGGTATTTCGATTGTGATGAAGTGCTGTGAAGAAAAGCCAGGTTGAGAGTTTAGAGAGTGACTGGATATCTCACTGACTCCTCTATTTCAGTATGTTCAAAATCAAACTCATCATTTCACCTGTAAAGTCTTCCTGAATTTTCTAATTGGTGGAGTGCCCCATTTTTCGCCCCCATCACCCAAGTTAGAAAGCTGGGATTCATCTTTGACTTCTCTCTTATCCCACGCTTCCAATGAGTCCTGAAGTTGTGGCCTTGGTCTCTTCACTGTTTCCTTCACTCTGTCTGTTCCTGGCCCTCGTCTGTGTCTGGCTCATTGCAGCAGCCTCCTAACTGGGCATCTCTAACTCCAGCCTGGACTTCTGCAAATCCATCAGTCATAAAACCACCACTATGATGTCTTAGATGCTGAACATGAAAATCTGCTTAACCCCTTACTGAGTTCTTTGCTAAAGCATAAGCTCTTAACTCCTTAGCATGATACAGAAAGTGCTCTGTGATCTGGGCCCTGCCTGCCTCTCTAGCATCTCTTTTCCTACTCCCTGCCCAAGTTTGATACTGCAGCAGTAATGAATGTTTGCATTTCCCCACCTGTACCACACTGCTTCTCACACACTTTTACTCATGGTATCCTTTGCTGGCTCTTTTCTCCCCTGTCCCACCTTGCCTGAAGAACTGCTATTTATCCTTTAAGCCCAGGCTCAGTTGTCACCCACTGGCACCCTCCCTCCCTTCCAGACTGGCATAGAAGTGCTCCTGTGTTATAGCTCATCTTGTTTTTACCACGTTGTTTTGTGACATTCTGTGTTTGTGTCCGTGATTCCCATTAGATTGTGGATCCTGAAGGGCGGGGAGTGAGTCTTACTGATCTTCCTCTCCCTGATGCTGTATGTAGAGGGCGCTCAGTGAATGCTCGTGGAATTATTGGCATTTAAAAACTTGACAATAATTCATTCTGGAAAGTAGAACATCAGTCAACCTCAGATCTTGTTTACAAAACTCTTAAATCATGGACACTGTAAAGAATAACCCAGAACAGTTTAGATTACTAGGGCTGTCTTAGTGAGATTTTACTCAAAATAATTACTTAAACGTTTTGAAATTTGAAGGGGGGTGCTTGGAGACGGTAGAAATATCGTTTGACAAAGGCTCTTTCTTCCCCATCATTTTTCTCCTAGGGGAAAACCCAGCATCTTTTCAGATGGGCTCTTCTTCTACTCTCAACTTAAAGGAGGTGCTCTGGTGTTCAACTCCCGTTTCTCTCACTCGGCCAGATCTCCCTCGGCAATCCTGTCCTCTTTGGCCTCAGTAACTGTTTAAGTGCTCATGACTCCCATGTGTCTCTCTTGAGTATCAGATTTGTATACCTAACTGCCTACAGGACACCTCAAACTCAGTGTGTTCCAAGCAGAAGTCATTCTTTCTTCAGTCGTGTCTGAAGTGTCCTGTGTTCCTGTCTCAGCAGAGTACAGTTGTCCACTGAATTGTTGAGGCCAGAATCTTGAGCCTCAGCCCTGGCTCCTGGCTCCCTCAAGCCCTACATCCTGTGGATTCTGGCTTCTGACTATAGGTCGGACGGATGCACTTGGCTCCATGTCTACTGCCACTGTCCTGTTCTCGGCCACCGTTATTTCTGTTCCTTCAGGCTTGTTCCTTTAAACCATTTTCCTTACTGCAGTGAGAGTGATGTTCTAAAACACACCGATGTCAGTCCTCAAGCTTTTAAGTGTTTGTTGTTCTTAGGGATAAAAATCTGTGAGGTTTTTTTAACATGGCTTATGAGCTTGTCACCACAACCTGTTATTTCCAGCTGTTCTCAACTTTTTTTTCTTAAATGTGTCTTCTTGTTTCCTAGTCTTTGCTAACCATTCTTTCAGCTGACTACTCTCTCCCACCCCTCTTACTCTAGTTAACTGTTAATTATCATTCAGCTGTTGGCTTAGATATTTCTTCCAGGGATCTTGCCTGTCGTCCCAATTTCATTTTGGCATACACTCTTGTAGTGTTAGGTCACAGCACTTACATCGTATTGTAATTGTTTGACTCTCCCTTGAGACTGTGAGGGCCAGGACCGCCTTGTCTTGTCAGCAATGTAACCCCAATGCCCAGCATGGAGCTTGGAACATGCCACAAAGTCAGTACTTTTTGTTGACTTATTTAGCATTTTAGCCATTTACTCTTATTGCTTATCCCTTTTGAAATTCATTTCCTAGAAAAAGTTCACATCCTGATTTGTGGATGAAAGTCTGTAGTAGAACCTCAATTCCAAAGAGTTTTCCTTCAGTTTAAAGAGAGAGAGAGAGAGCTTATAAGAGACTCTTAGCAGGATTAGTTTATAAAGCAACTTCTTTATCCTAGTCTTATATGCCTTGTGCACTAGACAGAAATTGATGTTGAGAATTACTATTTCAAGATAATTGCTATTGAGTTTTGTCCAATATGTACTTTATTTCCTCAAGCATAAAAACGGAATGTTTATACTGGTTAATAGTTGGATTCCAGAGTAAGATGTAAGTGGGTCCAAATCTTGGCCACACTTCTTACTGGTTCTTTGACCTTGGCGATGATGTGCAACTTTTCTGACCTTCAGTTTCCACCCATGTAAAATGGGAGTATTATTAGTAGCCCCTGCCTATGGGGATGCTTTGAGGATTCAAGGAAATAATGGATGAAAAGCATTTGTTGCAGTGCTTCGCACATATGAAGAACTTGGTAAGTTATCTGTGATACTTCAAATTTTAAAACGATTTCAATATCTCAGTTGAAAGAAAAAAGTATCTAAGGTTATAAAACTATCAGCTAGAAGATTCAATGTATCAAAACAACCAATTCCTTGAGTTTCTAATTAATTGAAATATAAATGAATTTTTCACCATGAGCTATACTTTTTTTCATTCTTTTCCCAAGAATAACAATTTCCAACTTTTTTTTTTTTTTAAAGATTTTATTTATTTCTTTTCCCCCCAAAGCCCCAGTAGATAGTTGTATGTCATAGCTGCACATCCTTCTAGTTGCTGTATGTGGGACGTGGCCTCAACATGGCTGGAGAAGCGGTGCGTCAGTATGCGCCCAGGATCCGAACCCGGGCCGCCAGCAGCGGAGCACGCGTACTTAACTGCTAAGCCACAGGGCCGGCCCAACAATTTCCAACTTGGAATGCAAGATAGCATAATTTCTGAATGTGTCCTCTAATTTCTGAATGAGTGTCCTCCAAGAGTATATTTCAAATGTAGCACTTACTTTTCATGTTAAAACTGAGAAGTCAAGTACAGGAAAATTAATTTTCTGTTCTCTACAAAGGTTGCCTTTATCTTTTTCAGTAGTTTTAAATGAAGGAACTATTAAGATTAGCGTAGCTAAGTAAAATAAATTGCATCTTGGTAGAAAATAAGAGGGCACATGCTAAAAAATGATGTATGTACATATGTGTGTAGCATGTTTGTGGATATGCAGTATCCTGAATTTCATATTCGTGTGTTTGTTTTTCTTTGGAGGAGCTAAAAGATTCTTTCCTTTATTGTAAACTTACAATACAAAATCTGTGGTACTTAGAAACTTAGCACAAGCGCTGGCTTAGTCCATTGTGTTGAGATTCACTTCATCCCACACCACTATAGTACAAGATGGGACTGCAGGGTAGGCCTGGTCCTCTGTGCGCCTTTTCCTCTGTGCGCCTTCTTTCTAAAGAGATCAGAAATGTCAAATATCCCTGTAGTCAGATGCTTACTTTTTGTTTTATGGTGATTAGTAACCACAAAGAAAGTAAGTACAGTGCTCAATCTTTCCTTGAAATGTACTTTGAATAAACTATATATTTCTAGTGCAAGTGTGATGAGTTAAGATAAAATTTTAAAGAATGAAAACCAGCCCAATTCTATATAACAAGCCCATCCAATGTTTTTTTTCCAGCGCCGACTTTTTTGAAGATGAGGCAGTTGAACAGGTTTTGAAGTATAATCCTTGGTGGACTGATATATATTCAAAAATGATGGCCTCTTTGGGAAAGAGTCAGGAGCAAGAAAATCATGCTGCATTAGGTAAGAAACTCAAAATTAGGCTTATTTGTTTACCACTTTCTCTGTTATTAAGCACACAATTGTGATTGCCTCATAGAGTGAAGATATTATTTTGGTTTGCTAATTTTGGAAATGGGGTCTGCACCCCAGACTGGAAATGCCACTCAATAATTAGACTAATTTGTCTTAAATTCTTTTGAAGTATGTTTTACTTTTGAATCATTGGGGTCCTTTTTAAAATTTTTATTTATTTATTTGTTTAAGTAAATTTAGGAACATTAACACACAGGACATTTTTAGTTGTTGAATAATCTGTTTGAGGGATCTGAACATTCCTCTGTGTTTAGGGCATTTAAGTATTAGTAATGGTGGGAAAAGACCTGGTTTTCATTCCCTTTGTTGAGTGAATTTGATATGTCCTCCCATATTTTTTTCACAAGTGGTTTTAAGTGGGAATAGTTATCCTCATTATTTGTACCTTACAGAGAGCAGGTGGACCAATTTTTACCAATGAAACCTAAGCCGGGGGCGGGTGTGTGTGTGTGTGTGTGTGTGTGTGTGTGTGTGTGTGTCGTGTTATGAGCCACAGGACTTGGCTGTGTCGTATTTAACATTAAGCCAAATGTTATCCACAAAGAATTCTTTCTTAGATGGTCATTTTATTACCACCTTCTCTAAGTGGGAGGTTGTTATATTAAGTCTGTAAATCAGAATTATAACAGTTTCAGATAGATCAAAAGTAGAAGGCCCAGGTTTTCTGTCATACTGATTTGGCTTTTATTTATGTATTAAAAATAAAATTTCAGTGTTAAAATGAAACAATGTGCACGTGGAATGAAATGCTGAATCTCCCAAGTGGAATATAGAATCTCCCCATTCCAAAGTCCTCTTCCTGAAAGTAATCACTCTTAACAATTTTGGGGTATTTTTAATGCATATGCTCATATCTAAATATTTGCTTTAAGAAATTTATAGACATATACTCATGTACACACTCCCTTCTTACCTTGCTTTCTCCTGATTATGGTGTATGTTGTACATCTTACATAGCAGCACTTCTGGTTCTACCTGAATGCCTGCTTAGTATTCTCTTGTATATTTGTATCATGACTGATGGATATTTGGGCTTTTTACTACTGATGGGCATTTGGGTTGTTTACAGTTTTCTGCAGTGGGCTTCTCTGACCGCTCAATCTGAAGTAGCTGCAAGTCGCTATTGCGTCACAATGTTTTGATTCTCTGCATAGCAAAAATGCAATCGTTTGTTATTTGCTCTATTTCCAGTGTCTAGTGTAGTGCCTGTTATATAATAGAGACTCAATAAATATTTATAGAATAAATAAATATTTCAGCAAATAGTTTTTTTTTTTTTTTTAAAGATTTTATTTATTTACTTTTCCCCCCAAAGCCCCAGTAGATAGTTGTGTGTCACAGCTGCACATCCCTCTAGTTGCTGTATGTGGGACGCGGCCTCAGCATGGCCGGAGAAGCGGCGCGTCGGTGCGCGCCCGGGATCCGAACCCGGGTCGCCAGCAGTGGAGCACGCTCACTTAACCACCAAGCCACGGGGCCGGCCCAGCAAATAGTTTTGTAGTTAGGTTTTGTTAGAGTTTCAGTGATTTCTACCAGATTGAAAAGTTACTGTAATCTTTTAGAATTGACTCTACTTGCACAACAGAAACTCGTTTACAAATGGTGACTGTTGTTACACTGTTTTCAACAAATCCTTGGTTTTGTATTTGATTTGAGTTTAAGAATCTTTAAGAGACTTCCCACATTATACAGACAAATTTTCAGGTATAAAATTCTTAAAACAATTTAGATAGTCATCTGTATATGCCATGTAGATCTGTTCAGAAAGCTTGCTCAAACTTAAATCATCAAGGCTATCTACTGGTCTGAGTCTGTTTCCCCAGTTTTAGTGCAGTATTTTAATGAGGTGGTGTGGGAGGAAACTGGTGGTTGCGTAGTTGAGTTTTCTGTCCACAAGGGTGAGCTAGTTGCCCTAAAAATCAAGAGAAGGCATTACCTTTGATTTCAATTCTAACTTGCTCTACTTTGATCAAGTGTAGCTTGTTCTAGGTCCTGTTTTCTGTGAGACCTGTACTTTGAGTCAATTCTCTATGTATAATTTTAACAGAAGGTTAACTAGTTCTTCACTGTAACCACTGGCCCTCCTGACCCTTCATCTGATCCGTGGCCTGTATCCAGACTGGTGCTTCAGGAACATAGTCTGCTAAGCTAGTATGGTGACTCATTCTAAAAATCACCTCTAAAAATAGCAAGGGCATGTGATCTAAGGTAGAAGAACTTGAGTTCTGTGTTGCACAGAAAGGGTGTCTTCTAAATGTGCCCAGTAGAGGGTGGAGTACAGGATATAGGGTAAATGTGGGGCTCGGGCTTTGACGCCTTGCTCCACCACAGGCTAGCAGTGCGATCTTGCAACTTCTCCGCGTTGCTGTGGAAATCCTGTACCTACCTCACAGAGTTGTCATGAGGATTGAATGAGATGATGTACTTAAAATCCTAAGTATATTGTAAATGTTAGAAATTATTATTGTAGAGTAAAATTAGTGGCAGGAGAGCCAGGAATTGAATGGCTTCTCTGTGAAGTTACAATTTTGGTGCATTTACAAGGCTTTAAGAGGAAGTTCTCTGTTAATGAGGTATTTCTTTTTTTTTCTTGTTCAAATGTTCGAGACATCCAGAATTGGAGGAATAAGTTGAAGTGTGTTCAACCAGGATAAAATACGAGAGAACAGAGATAAACCTTCAAGTTCTCAGCTTACTCAGGGAGCTTGCTGCTGCTCTGGTTTTCCCTCTTCCTCCTCTTTGTTCTTCCTCGTCTCCCAGGCCTTCCTCCTGTCTATGTCACAGCAGTGGGGTGTTTCCTCTGCAATGTTCCCTCAGCAGGTGTTACCAGGCAGAGATAACCGTGCACGTGAGGGGTGCACCCTTAATTCACCCTCCTCATGAAAGATTAAGCTGGATTGTTCTGAATTCCAGATAAGCCTTAGGTGGTGAACTTTGCTCTCTATCTTTGTATTGGTTACGATTCTTGTTATTTTCATTGTAGCCTTGAGTTACAACAGGGAGACTTTTATTAACATCTTCAGTTTTGTAACGATCCGGATCTTCCTCCCCGAAGGCTTGTAAATGGAAGTGTTAAATGCCGTGCTCCCACTGAGCTCTGGTTTCCTGAGGATGGACTTGCCACGTTTCCCATGTTGTCTTTCAGTGGTTAATCTCAGCCCGGGAATCTTGGCACATGATTGCTTGTTATGACACCACACAACATTTGTAGTCAATGAACTTCCTCACAGGGACATCCTGTTTGGCTTCAGTGAGCTCTTCAGTGTCTGCAGAGCTCCCTGTCAGTGTCAGCTTTGAAGGCTATAGCACTGCAGGGCTACCCATTTAGGCCGAGGGTCTGAAGGCAGCACATTTTCTTCTGGTCTCCTTGATCTGTTTCCAGAAAGTATAATGGACAGATTTGTATTCCTCTGAGAGGAGCCAGGTCATGGATGATTTAATTGTTGACCCACAGAAGACAGGGATGTTTGGGAGGGGGATTTAGACAAAAGAGAAGATTTAAAAGTAACAAAACTAGAAAATGTTCTCAGTGAGGCGAGAAGGTCACTTTCTCTTTTGATGGGAGCCCCTTTACCTTCCTCAAACTAATTAATGGGGTTTTTAATGTTGGGAGGTGGTCTTGGGCCATTTGCTTCAATGCTAGGGCACCAGTTTCTTCCCCAAACGAATTGAGCTTTCAGCTGGCTTTTGTTTGACTGCAGATTATTTATAGAAGTATAATTAACCGAAATGTTGTGAACTATATAGCAAAGCTGCTTTGTAGTGTAGCTAAGTCATACAAATGCTTGACAAATGTTACTCATGGTGGCAATCATCCAAGTATTGTTGGCACTGCATCTGTAGTTTTTTCCATTGCTGCTGCTCAGTTAGACCTGATTGTGTGCAAACCTCCTTGAGTTCCCCTTTGGAAGATATGATTTATAGCTCTAATAAAAAAGGCCTTTGGGAGCTCAGACTTTTGGTTTCTCTAGTGATTTCCTGGTTTGTTGTTATTGTTATTTATCATCTCTGGTTTCTTTGCTGGAATTTCAGAATTTAAATACATCTGTGTATTATTAATGAACTGCTTAGGCCAAAATGGAACTTATAAACACTCAGAAAAAGGCAGTGGTGTTTTAAGGAAAGGCTAGGGGCACCTAGCATCTAAGAATTCAGACGAGTATATTCAAGTAGGCTTTTCGTATGTGTATAGTCGTGGAAAGTGACCTGTGATATGTGGAAGCACTTGTGGTAAGGTAACATCAGAACCTACAGTTCTCAGGTCAGCCTTTACAAATCGTTAAACATATACAGGTGTGATTACTTAAGACTGAAGGAATAAACATGGAGATGAGTTGATGTGCTGTTAAACGGCTCTGGGCACGCTTACCTTGTGATTCAGAATTATGTGGAAACAAGTCTTTATTAGTCAACTAGGATGTAAAGGCTTTTCTCTAGTGAGAGAATAGCGTCATGAACACCTGGCATTTTCGTATCAGCTAAATTAATGAACGTCTCAAAAACTACACCTAAGGGAATATTATCTCAAACCTTCTTGCCAAATACCAGAGGTCTTAAAATACCTTTTCAGGAATACTTTCTTCATACAGTAAGTATGTTCCTTCTTACAGTTTCCTTAAATCAGATTTCTTTAAGTGAACTGAGAGCTTCTATTTAAGTTAAGGGATCAGCATATAAGTCCTTTAGTGAAACAGTGAACATCCAGTATCTGTCTTATTTTGTTTTGACATGTTAGTTTTTAAAGAATGCGTCACCTGACATCTACCTGCATTAAGTTTAAAAATATACACTTTGTTTATGTTGCCGGCCAGCAAATTAAATAAATGCATTCTCATAATTATTTGCTGTTTATGTAAGCAGTGCTTGTGCAAATACATTTCTTTTTTTCTTCTCATATTTTTTTAAACATGGTTTTATTTTTTCTAACATGGTTGAAAAAATAATTATATTTCAAAATCTGTTTTTTTGCTTGCTAAGTGTATTTTATAATGAGTAAAGGAGTATTGCTTCTAGTAGTTTCAAATAAGTGTATTTAAGATTTTTTCCCCCTAGAGGATAGGCTGTAAAACTGTTGGAAGGAAGTCTTAAAACAAAAAGAAGCCATAGTAAACTTGAGGCTCCTACAAGAGGACAGAAGTGAGTTTGGAAAACTACATTCATGCGTTGCTTAATGATGGGGATACGTTGTGAGAAATGAGTCGTTAGGCGATTTCGTTGTTGTGTGAATAATATAGAGTGTACTTACACAACCCTAGATGGTATAGCCTACTACACACCTAGGCTATATGGTACTAATATTATGGGACCACTGTTGTATATGTGGTCTGTTGTTGACCAAAATGTCATTTTGCAGCGCATGACTATTTATGTGAACAGGGGCCATCGTATTCTCTTCTTTCTGTCTTTTGCCCAGTTGTGATGAGAAGAATGGCAGTCTTGTTGAACAGAAACAGAGAGGGACTGGGTAGCTAGCTATCAAGAGAGTGGTTTGGGAATGTTAAGGAGGCAATTTAATAATTTTTGATCTCCAAAAGGTGTCAGAGATGGCCAAGTGTCTTTTATTAGCCCTTCTCCCCTAAGATGCTTCCTGAGTTGGAGCTGGACACATGACCACTAGCTAAGGACTACATTTCTTTTCCTTCCCTGTCACTGGGTGTGGTCATGTGACTAAGTCCTGGCTTATGGGAAGTCAGTGGAAGTGCTGTGTACACTTTCTGGATCAAGTCTTTAGAAAGAAGGTGCTTGCCATCCTCTTCGTACTCTGCTTTCCCATTGGTTAGAAAGTGGTAAAAACATGGAACAGCTGTCTTGGACTCATAGATAGAAATCATATGATAGAGATGCTGATGCCCCACCAGTCCTGGATCATTCACTCAGAATAGTAGCGTGAGGGAGAAACTTCTGTCTTAGTCTTATTTAAGCCATTGTATTTTGGGGTCTCTTTGTTACAGCAGTTTAGCCTATCCTTACCTAAATATAACGGACAGTTCTAAACCCTGGAGAAAAAGACTTGAAAGTTATTTTGACATTACTCTGATATGAAGCATCAGAACTAGAAGCTGAACGCTCCTCTTTACTGGGCTTAAAAACTTTTTAAGTGAATTTGAAAGTGATTGTCTGATAGGGCATGGAAGGAAAATTAAGGATGACTTTGCAAGGTAAGAGATTGATAACACTTATACAGAGGTAACTTAATGTATCTAGATGTTTGTTTTTATTTTTTTTATTTTTATTTTTGTGAGGAAGACCAGCCCTGAGCTAACATCTATTGTCAGTCCTCCTCCTTTTTTTTCCCTTTTTCTCCCCAAAGCCCCAGTAGATAGTTGTATCTCATAGTTGTACATCCTTCTAGTTGCTGTATGTGGGACGCGGCCTCAGCGTGGCGGGACAAGCGGTGCGTCGGTGCGCACCCGGTATCCGAACCCAGGCTGCCAGTAGCGGAGCGCGCGCACTTAACTGCTAAGCCATGCCCGGCCCCTAAATTTTTAAAAAATTGCTCTAAGACAAGTGGTAGTCCATGTTTTACTTATAATAACTAGGAACTGAGCACATCTATGTTGTTAGCTAGTACTCTTTCTGTAAATCTTGCTCTAAGACAAGATGTATTTTACTTTGTATGTAGAGTAACAAGGAACCGATAATGCTCATGTTTTGTTAATGTGAGAAGATATATACTTTGTGATAGCTTGCCTAAATTGTAGGCATCAAAGAAAACTTAGAGGGAACCACAGTCTCATCCTTACTTGCCTTATCAATGTAGACATAATGTTTTTTTCATCAGTAGCATTTAAGTATTTTAGTTTACTTTTTTAATTAATTTATTATTTTTATTTTATTTATTAATTTATTAAGTATTTTAGTTTTGCTTTTAATTGTTTTATTGAGGTCACATTGGTTTATAACATTGTGTAAATTTCAGGTGTACATCATTATATTTCAGCTTCTGTAGAGACTGCATCGTGTTCACCACCAAAAGTCTAGTTTCCATCCGTCACCATACAAATGAGCCCCTTTACCCCTTAGTTTGTTTTTTTTTTGGTCTAGGTAGCCAACATTTGATAAGGTGGCTGATATGTAAAAAGAAATAGCTTTTCTCTCTTCTATAAAGAAGTATTTAATAACGTAAATGGGAAAAATATATTTGCAAGTAACAAAAACTGAAAAGGCTTTGAAGTAATTTTTAGCAAGAAAAGCAACAGATCTATTTGACAAAGTTGGTGGTTCAATACAGTGGGGAAGATGGATTACTGAACAAACTGTGCTGGCACAATTAACTGTTCATCTGGAATTAACTGAAATCTTAAAACATATGAAAAAATAACTTCCAGATGGATAAAAGACTTAAATTTAAAAAAGGAAACATCACATCTTAAGGAAAAGCTGAGAGACTTTGTGTACACTTCAGGGGTTGGGGAAAGCTATTGAAGGCTGTAAATCTAGAATCTGTTAAAAAAAAAAAAAAAGATGGACATATTTGGCTACACATAAAATAAATAATTCAGTGGCCAAAGATTCCATGAACAAAGTCAATAGATATGGGGTAGATTTGGAGATATGACTAGGGTTCATATTTATAGATGAGTTCTTAATTTTGACAAGACAAGCCATCCAATGGAAAAAATTGGGTAAAACACATTCAAATGGGTAATTCACGGGAGAGCAAAGCCAAATTGCCAACAAACCTATGAAATAATGCTTAAAGTTTAGCAATTAGAGAAATACTAACTGAAGTAACAATATGTCACTGTATTAGTTTTCTCTTGCTGCATAAAGTTATCACAAATTAGAAGCAGAGATCTGATTTGATTCAGTTTTCTGTGGGTCAGGAGTCAGGCCTGGCTTAGTTGGGTCCTCCTCTCAGGGTCTTGGCAAGGCTGTAGACAAATATGGCCGTCTTTTTTTTTTTTTTAGTGGGTGTTGGCAGCCACATTCTCAGGATCCTCTTCAACCTCACATGATGGTTGGCAGAATTCCATTCCTGTGACTATAGAACCGAGGCCCCTACGTTCTTGCTGGCTGTCAGCTGGGGGCCACTCTCAGATCTTAGAGGCCCCCACAGTTCCCTGCAACGTGGCCCTCTCACAACGTGCATCTTATTCTTCAGAATTAGCAGGCGAGTCTTGGGCTCCAGTCTGCTAATAACGAAACATAATCGTGACAGTGACTGTCCCTACACCTTTGCTGTATTGTTTTGGGTAGAAGCAAGTCATGGGTTCTGCTCACACTCAAATGGTGTGACTCAGTGGTGGTCATCTTAGGATTCTTCCTACCACGGTCACTTTATATCCATTAAACTGGAAAGTATTAAAGAAAGCTATTACATTTATTGCAGGGAGGGGGTGAGAGATGTGTAGGAAGGGGAACTGCTGTCCGTGACCAACAGAAAGGAGAATTATAGCCTTTAAATAAAGTATCTTTTAAAAACAGGTATACTTTTTGACCCAGTAAATGTACTCTTGGGAATCTATTTTATGGGAATAAAGGCTCCAGTATCCAAGGACATTTATTGCAGCATTATTAGCAGTGGCAGAAAACTGGAAGCAAAGTGAATGCCCATCAGTAGGGGGAGTGGTTGGATAGAGCATGGCACACCATGGAATATTCCACTCCTTTACAAAAATTAGCTAGTACCAATTGACTTGGAGAGATTTGCCAGAGATATTGTTGAGTGAGATAGACTGGATGGAGAAAAATCATATAATTCTTTGAGGGGAAAACTCGCTTGTATACATATTTATGTGTCTGTATATGATTACATGGTTGTAGAGAAAAATATGAAAGATATAGACTAGATTTTTAACATGGGAGAGGCTGTTTGCAAAGATGGAGAGAGGGTGCCAAGGAAAAGAAGAAAAGGGAAAACAGACTGTCGAAAACAAACATCCTCTTCCCACAAGTCTAATATGTGTGGTATAGTCACATTTGTATATTTATGTAAAACTTTGTTTCTATGTGTAAAGAATATTAAAAAATAAATACTGTGCCTTTAAAATTGACTAATATATGGGAATACTTCTATTTCTTTGTATAGAACTTTCAAAATGGATAATGAATATAGAGTGCTTTATTTAGCTGTTACGTGTTTTCTGTTGTCAAAATGTATTATCTTAATTTTAAAGTTAATAACTCTGGCATTTAAATCCCTTGAATACAGAACAGAGAGCAAAAAAAAAGGAGAGGGGGTGTGGAATAAGGAATAGACGTTGTTTAGACATTTCTCCTTTATTTCATCCTGCTAGGGTTTGAGCACAAGCATAGCCCTTAATAAAACTGTGACGTCTAGCTAAAAAGTTGTTTCTATATCCAAAGTTAAATAATTTTTATTTCAGTTTCTATAATCAAAGTACTAATTTTGACAAATCTTCCACGTTGGGGGTTTTACAAAACTGAATGGAACATCTAATTTTTAAATGCATTTTCTTTTAGTGTCTTTTTCTGAAGAAGAGAAATATCAGCTGCGAAAATTTGTCAATAAATCTTACCTCCTGGACAAGAGAGCCCACCTTCAAGTGTACTACAGTTTGATTGATATCCTTCTGGCATATTGCTACGAGACTCGTGTCACTGAAGGAGAGAAGAATGTGAGTGCACATGTGTCTGTGCATGTTGGCCTAGACGACTGTACTAAGTAGAGTGTATTAAGGCATCAGCCCTCCCGTTGAGAGTAAGCCCTGTTGTGATGAGTTATGTAGGGGACGCTCTGGGCAGAGGAGCAGGTGTGTGTTGGTGGTAGGTACCAGCATGAAAACATAATGCTTACTTGGTCTTTTTCTCTTCTCTCTTGGCATTAGTCTCTACCAGATAGCAGAGTGAGGAAGTAAAGCTGAGGGTAGAGAAAAAGGATAGCCTGAGCTCTCTTCTCTTCTAGGAGATGAACTGGCCAAATAAGAACTACTGCCACATGACACTTGACATTGGCAGGTGGTAAACTTGACCATACCCATTTCTATTCTTTCTCCGAGCTGTCAATTAGGAGATGCAAGGCATAGTATTTTACAAAAAAAAAAGAATCTTAGTATTTATCTGCACATATCCCTCAATTGACATAGTATATATATCCTTCTGAAGAACTGTATGTAAATCAGATTTTTAAAAACCTGAATCGTATCTTTTTTGCTATTTAATGAAATTGTATTGTAAAAGTAAATCCTTTTGTAAAGTACATTATTTCTTAAATGAGATATATATATATTTTTAATAATATAGACGATTGTATCTCTTCTGCAACCACATTTGATTTTGTAAATCAAGAGCTAAACTTCTTTCTCACCTACATCCCTGATCATATATAAAAGAAGGCTGGAAAACCAAAAAAAAGTTTGTCCGGTTAATGTGCTCCTCCAGCTGTTGATAATTGTCATTGCTCAAGGGATTGTTTTTGAGCTGAGCGTATGCTTTTCTCTCTTAAAATTACACAAATAATTCATATCCCTGTAAAGGAAAATACGGACGTGAAGAAAATAATTAAAATTTCCTGTATCTGAGCCATCAGAAATAGCCTTGTTACAAGGTGGTGTGTGTCTTCCAGTGTTCTTTCATTGTGCACATGTATGTGTGTGTATTCACATTGGGTTATAATGTCTATATGGACTATTATTTAATCTGCTTTTCTCACTCAACATCATAGCATTAGCATAGGATTAGGGTTTGATATGTGCCAAGTTTTTTGGTATGAGTCTGAAAATTTCAAAGGTGACTCTTATTTGCGTTTGACTCCAAAATGAATATTAAATAGTGTATCAAGGGCATAGTATAACTGAAGATCGTTTTTGTTTCCACTCATCTTTTAAGGATAATATAATTGGAGAAAATGTCTTCTTTGACAAAAAAAAAAGTGCTTCATATTATTGCTTGAGAAGGTGAGTGAGAGTGTTTAGTTATGCTCGATGAAATTTACCATTTTTGAGTCCTGCGTTCACATATTTGAAATCATGAAGTCTTGCAACTTCAAGACCTGCTCTAGAATGTACTTATTCTCACAAGCGTTCTCTGAAAGGCCAGATTCTTGAGCGGCTTTTTAAGTGCCAGAGACAGCATTTCAGCATTATCTTTGAGTCCGTCGGTAGATTATTTATAGAATGTTTGGAAGGCAAGTAACTTAGTTGAGAAGGACAGAAATTGAGCAAGCATCGCTTTGCTTTCATTTTTAGTTTCAAAGCCCCTGCTTATTTGCTCTTGTGCTCTTCTCAGTGGAAAAGCTTTACTTTATCAAATCCCAAAGCAAGACAGAAGCTTGCCTTTGATAACCTCTGCATCAGTAAAGCAATGGTTTTTCCGCAGTCATAGAGTCATAGGCACTTCTTAGTTCTTATGTATGTCAGTACTACTCAGCTACTGGTTGAATAAATGGATCTATTTGCTTTATTTTCGAATGACTTTGCCTCTAATGTGACAGTACTCTTTTCTCCAAAACAAATAAAGGTTGAATCTGCATGGAATATCAGAAAACTGAGTCCCACACTGTGCTGGTTTGAGGTATGATTTTTAGTTGCAATTGTTTAGATTTTGTTTGCTTGTTCAGAAGGTTATTTTTCTGTTGTCATTAGTTCATTTTGGGTAATTCAAGCAATTCCATGATTTGTTAAAAGTGGAAGCTTTATCATACAAGGTTTTTTCCTATCTTTATTAAAATTCTGATTCCATTTGTTACTCTGACTCTAATCATAGTATACTGATGAAGCCAGGGAGGGAATTTTGAAAATTGGAAGAGGGAGAACATACTTTGGAGAAAGAATAGGGACATGGTCTGTTGGGAGAGGATGTGGGGTGGAGTTTGAGGCATGTTTGTCAGTTGGCATATATTGGGGTCCAGAGCTCAAAGATGGGGAGCAAATGTAGGTGGTAATACTACTAGCTGCTACTTACAACCAGGGACTGTGCTAAGCGTTTTATAGGTATTAACTCACCTATTCCTTTCAATAAGTCTGTGAGATAAGTATTACTGGTATTTTGCAGATGAGTGGACTTAGATCAGATAGCTTAAATAACTTATCCCAGGTCCTATAATGAGTATGGTTAGATAACTCTTCTAGTAATGATTGTCTTTATATCTATTTTCTAGAAAATAGTTGTGTAGGTCTTACCAAAAGTATCCAAAAATGATGTCTTTAAATTTCCTAGTTTTGAACAAACTCTTGTATATCAAAACAGTGATTAAAGTTAGAAGCTTTAAAAAAAGTGTCAAACAGTTGCTATTTGCATCATCAGTTAAGACAATAAAAAAAACTAGTTTTTTTTTCCAGTGTAAATCCTAGGTACAGTACATATTAAGTTGTAAAAGTAAGGTTGTTCTTTGGCATCACTTTGTTCCAATAATAGATAAGATGTAAACAGGAACTGAAACACAACTTTATCAGGGAATCTTGCTACTCCAAGAATGGTCCATGAACCAACAGGTTGACCGGCATCCTTGGCTGAGAGCTTGTTAGAAAGTTAGAACCTCTGTCCAGACCCACTGAATCAATCTGTAGCAAGATCTCCAGGGATTTGCATGCATTACAGTTGGAGAAGCACTGCTCTCGGCTTCATTTGGGTTCTGCGTGTTGCCATGATCAGCATGTAATGGAGAAACTGGTTTTTGCAATAATTCCATTGATTACTTATGTTGAAAACAAAGTGATTGATTAGATAATTTCATAGTTCAGTTATTAAAATCTACATCAATAAATTCACCTATTTATGGTTTTACTTTGAAATTTTTGTTGTTTTTGAGATATCTTAACAATTATCAGACTTAAGTGGCTATGTCAGACTTCTATGAGTATTTAGTTTGTGGCTAGAATTTTTTAAAAGTTCAGAATTCTGTTTAGATATAAACTATTCTTTGTCAGATATACAGTATTCTTAATCAGATCTCTCATTTGTTAAGGATTAATGTACATGGAAATCATGCTGCTCTGTTAGTTTTAATTTTATATTTTAAGTTTCATATATGGGTTACATTTTTTTATCAAAACACAATTAAATAATTTTGTAGAAAATTGCTTTGTCTAGTGTTTTGAGTAGGTATTGAATTGCTAATGGTATCAGTTTGCTATGCTGTTCAAGATAAAACACTTTTTTCCTGGAAATCATTACTTTTCTCTTTAATAAATGAAAGCAAATTACTAAAGTAAATACCATATCTTACTCTTGCCTAAAGAAAAAAAAACAAAACAAAAGGAAAGGGGGAGACTGTAAACACACTTCACTAAAGGGTTCTACGTCTTTCATCTGCACTATCTTGAATGGTCCCAAAAGACAAAACCATGAAACATATATCATTTAGAAATGTCTTTTATGTGCATCTGTATTTTGTTAGTGCCATGTGTTTTAGATTCATATTCGTAATTCTTAAAAGACTTTTTAAAACTTTCCTTCTACATATGTGATTTTTAAGGAGCATTTGTGATATGCTGATGAAGTACGAGAAATTACAAAGACAAGAATTAAATATTTTATTGTAAGGTGTATAAAAAGAGTCTCGTTTCATGCTTTTATATTTCTTTTCCACTTGGCTTCATGATGATCCAAACTTAGAGTTTTTAGTTGGTAATAGTTTCATATTTCGTTGTGTGCTTTTGTTTGTGTAATATGGAAATGATTATTTATTTAAATGATCCTTCACAGACTTGGACTAATGTTCATGAAATCCTGGTGTCTTTTGGAAGAAGAGTTTTGTGCTATCCACTTTATCGCCATTTCAAGCTGGTGATGAAAGCCTACAGAGACACTCTAAAGATATTGCAACTAGGTGAGATATTATTGTGCTTGCAGATTTGCGAGTGAAAAGTTGTAAGTTTTTAGCCTGTAAGGATGTAGTCATGATTTTTGCTTTTTTTTCTGTCCATAAATAAGTAATGAAAATCATCCAATCCAACCACTTTTCCTCCCAGGTATATAAAGTAATAGTTCCTCTATGTAGCTAGATAATCATGCAGAGAGGTGTGGTACTCTCTTCTGAGAGGAGTGGGGAGGGTCAGTAGAGAAGGTACACACAGTATTCCACACCATTTGGTATTATCATAGATTGCATCACTCTGTATTTCTTGGATGCCTGTAATTTTCTAGGTACCATTCTGGGATCGTGGGTACAATAATAAAGAAGATAAATTCCTTGCTCCTATGAAGTTTACGGTTTTTCCAGGGTGATAGATGGTAAATAAGTAAGCAATTCCAGTATAGAGTGAAAAGCACTCTGCTGGGGGGAGTACAGAGATCACTAGGAGGGGACGTGGAACCTGCACCTGGGAGGTCAGGGCAGGCTTTCCAAAGAAAAGCACAGCTGCTCTAAGGACTTTTGACTGTTGCTACATCCAACCTGAAAAGACAAATATTTGCTAGTTTTAAGGATGTGGAAAATTCTAAGCTCTGAAACAAATTCCAAAGTTCCTGTAACAGCATCATTGGATTAAGTATATAATTTCCAAGATAATGACTTGGAAGGGGGCAACATCCATTTGTATGTATTAGTTCTGGCACATTTATTTAAAAGTCACTTTCCATACTTTATAGTCATTTCTCATATTCTCCCTTGGGGATCCTCGTCATTCCTTTGTCCTTAGATAAAAGTGCTTCTGAGGACTTAGTTTTCAGACTTCAGGGTAAGAATGGGAAAGAAAGGAAGTTCTTCTTCTCTTTACATCCAGGTGACTTCATTGACTTAAAGGGAAGAATCACGTCTCTAATATTCTGTCCCTCCTAGAGGGGTACTAGATTTTTCTTTGACTTCTGTGTAACCTATAGTCCTTTTACCCTGGGGGTAAAAGTCATGTTTGAAGTAGATTCTTTTAAAGTAGGCAATAATTGTAAAAAATGAATCATAGTTAAATGAAAGATACCTTTTTGTTCATCGAGTTGGTTGAGACTAGCTGTATTTTATATTGCAGGATTGCTGATTATGGGGTAGCAGAACTACTACCTTTAAGGAATATATCTTCTTTGATTTAACAGTGAGAAACAAACTGCTTTGTTTTTTCGAATGTTATTTCTTCTTTCCTTTCACCCAAGATATTTCTTGAATTGTAAAAATTACCTTGAAAAATCAGTCTACTATACATGACTGATTGTTGAACTTGTTACATGTCACAATTAATTTCTTGTTTAACTCATGCTAGATTATCTGCACATTATTCATAGATTTAAACAGTGAGAATGCAGTTTGCGATTATCCTGTTACATCATGGCTTCCAGATGGAAAACTGGCAAAAACCCCCATGTGTGTGCGCGCACACACACTATTACTTGTTACTTTTTATTCTGGGAAGTAATCTAGTTCTCTGGATTTTTATTTGAAAAGTAATCAGTTCTGTGATTGCATAACCAAAAATAAATTTGATTGCCTGAACTTACACTCTAATCAATTACTCAAACAGTTTTAGTAGGTCAGAATTGAAATTTAGACTTAACTTCTCATCATTATCAATCTGACAAGAAATAGTCTTATCAGCTGTGTCATGATAGTGACAGAAAACCAGAGGTAACACTGGAGGCCTGTCTGCTAAAAATGAATCTGAACCCTCTATAAACCATACGCATTATGTTCTGTGGCTGATTTGGTTTGTGGCTAGTCCAGGGGGCCTCGCTTAAAACCCCCTTTCTCTTGGTTTCAGGTGACAGGAGAGCACCTCCTCCTGTCCCCCATGGAGTGGGTGGTAGAAACCCTACAGCACTCCAACTTATCCAAAGAGATTTTCTAGACCTCTTTACTCTTAAACTCCTGGAGGTGAATATTGGTCTAAGGGATCACAAATCAGTTTTTTGTTAGTCTCTCTGGAAATTTAGCATTTCTTTTTAAAATATGGGAATACTTGATATCTGTTTTGTCCTTTGTGAACCTCACTGGAAGTGAGTCAGAAAGTGTCCTGCCTTAATATGCTCGTACGGTAATAATAACCACAGCTACCGTATTAACCACTCTGTGTGCCAGCAGTAAGTTCAGTTCTTTAGAGACCTTATCTGATTTCATCCATGCTGTAATCCTGAGAAGAGGGATTACTGTCCCCATTTTGCAGATAGAAGCCAGGCTCAGAAGAATTCAGTCACTTGCCAGGGGTCACACAGCCAGTAGTTGGTAGAGCCTGGATTTGACACCAGGTCTGTCTGACTCACAGACTCAAAGTCTGTGCCCTTTGAAGTGTTGAAATAGTTATAAATGAAATTGTATGAGGCCTTGGATTTACTTCAAAATAATCCACAGTGGGTTAGGGGAAAGTGGGCAGGGTGCAGATGAAACAAGGTTGGCCATTAGTTGGTACTTGCTGAAGCTCGGTGATGAGAACGTGGGAGTTCACTGGCCTGTTGTCTCTTTTTGTACATGTTGTGATTTTCCTTTGTAAAAAGGTTTTTTTTGTTTTTTAAGTCTGGGCTCTTAACCACTGTACTTCTATGTTTCAAATTTAAATTTATTCACCGTTTTGTACAAAACATTATAATTTTTGTTCAGACAGATGTATAAAAATATTTTGGCTAATAAAAAGACACATTTAAAATTAGTTTTTTGTTTTATTTTTAAGGCTCATAGAAACCTACCTTTTTATAAACATTTCAAGTCTGATGACTAGTGGCTACATGGCAGGCTGTAACCCAAGAAACAGCCTTCAGGAGATTATTGTTACCAACTAAAAGCTGGTTTTACTTCATATAATTAATAGCCCTTACATATCAGTCATTACTGGGCTCAATAATCAATTTTTCAGAAATGACTGCTTTACTGACCTCTCTGTAGATGGATATAATAACATGATCAATGTGAAAGTAAAGAGCCAGGGCACAGGGCTTGGGGGCTGATCTTTTTCTTTAAGAAAAATGATAGTTTAAGAAACTGAGGTATGGCAAGTGTATTGTGCAAGCTCTGAGTTCTGAAGCAACGTTAAAGATGAATTTCTTTTTAGTATTTGAATTCTATTTAGTCCAAAGTCAGTTTAGCAAATGCTTCGTGTTATTGAATTGTAAAGGAGATTACCCCAAATTGAAAATTAAAAGATGAAATCACTAGGATTTTCCAGTGTTGACATTTATCTGTGTTTAATTTCTATGAGTTCCCAGCTATGGACGTTTTAAAGAATTGTGAGGCCTTTTAATTTTACTCCCTAAGTACGTTATGTAAAACTATTTTGAGAGTTATTCAACAAGTATTTGTTGAGCGCTTGGTATGTCAGGGTGCCGAGCTGGCTCTGCAGATGTAGTGAACAGGAGGGGTGCGACTGATGCCCTCAGGGAGCTTGAAATTCTAATGCGGGGCAGGGAATTACACAACTACCAGGTTTTTTAAACAATAGCATTTGTAATAAGCAGGTCAAAGGAGAAATATAGTGGGTGAAAATATAAAGCCAGAGAAACTGACTTACATTTAAGTCACTTCAGACACGTAAGCTCCTACAGAGGGGAGCCTCTGCCTTATTTGACTTCCAATTCTCAGCTCCTACTACAGTTTCCTGTCGCTCTAAAGTACTTGTTAATTGATTGATGAGTTCACTATTAATTTATTCATTCAGCAGGTATTTTGTCAGTACCTACTAAAAAGCTATTCATTATGCACAAAGCACCCTGTAAATGTAAATCTCAATGTAAAGAACAGTAGAAAGATGAATTAGCCTTAGGAACTGTATTTGGGGAGCATGTGCAAGAGTAGGGGAGCTAAGATGTCCATCCATAATGTAAAATACATAGTAGACAGAGGTAAGTACCTTACATGAAATGTGGGCTAAGCAGCTCAAAAAGGGAGCGGTGATGTTTCACTGGGGACCAGAGAAAGCCTCATGGAACACGTGAGATTTGCGTTGGGACTTGAAGGATGGGTAGTATTTGGACATGGAGGGAGGGAGGTGTCCTAAATATTCTAAGTGAACAGTATGAGGGAAGTTCATGGAATAGCACAGTTTCATAGTGAAAATTTGGAGTTGATATGCTGTCTGGTTCTGAGATTTGCCCTATAGCCTCTAAAACTAGTTGATAGTTCCTTTCCTATCTGACTTAACTGGTCACCGGAGTGAATTTCTCTACTTCTTTAATATTATCACTTAATTCCGTGCTCCCCACTCAGGAGGTGATAATTCTTATTTCCTGTTTTCTTCCTCATTCTAAATTGTTCTTGAACTTTTTATTTCCTAGTCAATTCCTGATCATAATTAAATGTTTCTAAGAATGAAACAATCATAGTGCTTTCAGGAAATTGAAATAGCATGGAATTCAAATCAAATATTGAAGTACTCTTTGTATCTGCTTTTGCTGATCACTTATATCCCAACTAATCCAGTAAAGGAGGGGCTTCGGAGCCCTGGAGTGCGTGGGCTGGCTGAAACGTGTGAAGGGAGAGGAGGACCCTGCCTTGGGTGGTGACCAGGCCAGTCCTGGGCCTAGCTCTCCCTGGATTCTCCTGCCACGAGGCAAAGCAAGTTCCTGTTACTCTTGTCTCTTCCTCAGGCCCACATCTGTGTCCCCAGTCTCTAAAATTGGCACATTCTTCCTGTTTATCTGTTTATTTATCCTCAGAGCATTTGTGGGTTTATACATGCACTTCTTTATAGAAAGATATTGTATCTGAGCATAAACTGTAATAAAGCGAAGAAAATCAAGTTCCGATCATCTCCCTAGCATCGCCTTTTCCTTGATAATCCTGTTAATCATTAAATATTGTTAGTCACTAAAATGTTTTTAGATTGCTTTTGTGGTAATTTCTGGGTTACATTTATATAAAACATTCTTAATACTCTGTAGGGGGCAGCGTTTCCTCTATGGTTTACAAATAATAAA